GACCGTACCCAAAGCGACGACACGGTACGCCGAGCAGACGAAAAAATAAAATAAAAAATTGGCGTTGTTTGAGCAGTTGGCACCACTGGCACGCGGGTTCAAAGTCGCGCGCGCACCAAAACCTGCGGTATGGTGGCGAGGTTGGCCACGCAGTGCCTGATGAAGAGGTTGGCAGTACTGCCCCCCGCGCAGTCCCACCGCCGCAGGTAATTACGAGTGATGAATTCATGCATAAATGTACAAGGCGGTGGAGGCCCTCCTGCTCAAGCATACACACATATTTCCTTTTTCCCCCTTCTCCCTCTCTCTCTCCCACTCACTAGCCTCCTCTTCCTCCCGCTCCTACACACCTTTCATTTTCGCCCGCGCATTTATTTTACGAATAATGAAAAGAAAACGGAAGAAATAATAAAGGTAGCGGGGGCGGGGAGTGGAGGGTGGGAAGTTAGCGACGTGGAAGGGAGAAGAGGGGGGGTGGGGAAAATTGGTGGGAAGAAACCGCGGACGGCACGACGGAGGTGTGAAGCACTGATAGCAGGGGCAGAACACGCACGGGTGTTGCGGTTACTCGTTCACATTTACATACCCAGAGCAGGTTCAAAAATTTGCAAAAAACTGTTTTTTTTTTCCGCAAATCTGTTTTTTGATGGGTTGGCATTTCTAAACGGCCACGCAACGGTATGGGCGACGATGGGCAAGTGCTGCTCCATCAGACAAATATCTCCGGAGCAAACGCGTGCTGAGACAAGGTTCCAGAGATCGAGAGCCAGAGGTCGAGAGAGAGAGAGAGAAAGACCGATGGACGCAGAGAGACGGCGAGAGCGACGGCGAGGGGGGCGTGGCTGCTGGGCGTGAATACAGTCAGTAATATAGCTGCACCATGCGTGTTACCGGACTGCACCTCAAAGGGGCCGCCTCTCTCTCTCTCTCTCTCTCTCTCTCTCTCTCTCTCTCGCTCCCTCTCTGAAGCGGCGCGTTAGGGCGGCAGCGAGAGAGGTTTATAAGGAAGGTTTGGGGGCAGGGCGGCAGGCCCGCCGGGGCGTTCGGAAACCGCAACAAACTCGCCGACCTTCTCTGCCCCCCCCCCTTTCCTCTCTCTCTCACTCACACACGCCTTTGCAGGAGCGACGACACACACTCACACACACAGACAAGCACACGGCTGCTGCTGATGATGCCGCCGTCTTGTTGACAGCAACTCACAGCCGAACTCACCCCGTACAGGGTGGGTGGGTCCACTTTGTAAACACGACATTAACAGCAGCAGCACGATGCTACTTTTGCGGGAGAAAATAATTTCTCCGAGTCCTTTTGGCGAGCGCTGCGTCCACGTGCAGCAGGGACTTCCCCGACATGCGCTGTGCGGCGGTGCGAGCGACGGCTCAAAGAGCGGCGCGCGGGACGCGATCGACTGCGCAATAATCGTCCCATTAGACATCAATAAGCGATACCATCTCTCTCTCCTCCCCGCCGCCGCCACTCACCTCTCGCCGGTCCCTAGTTTTTTCCCTTCCCCTCCCTCCGTCCTTTCCCTCCTCCTCCTCATCCCCTCCCCTCTCACCCGCGGCGGCGCGGCGCGCGCTAGATTTATTGCCGAGTGGCTGATCGCTGCCCGAATCATGATTCAATTTTGAAACCGCCGCCGCCGCCGCCGAGCTTGCCGCGCCTCCCGCGATCGCATCACACCGAGGCGGCGGGAGGCCGGCGGCAGAAAAGGTGGCAAAGGGGGCGGCAAAAGGTGGCGAAGTCGGCAAAGAAAACGGGAAGGGCGTGTCAGGAATAAAGCAGATGCACAAGGCGTGAGGGGCCAAGTAGAAGAAGGTGCCGCAAGGAGGTGAGTGAGGCGAGTGGAAGGGCACCAAGTAAAGTGGTAAGGTAAGGCACCAAGTAAAGTGGTAAGGTAAGGCACCAAGTAAAGTGGTAAGGCACCAAGTGGAAGGGCACCGCGGCAGGCGAGCAAGCACCACATGGGACAGGTACCAATTGAAACGGAAACAAAAGCAAGGGCACCAAGTGGAAGGGAAGTGGTAAGTGGGGCAGCAACCACTAGAAGTGGGGTCCACAAAAACCGTAGCGGGAAAACCAAACAAGTGGCAGGTCGAATATTGACGCAAAACCAAAACAACCCAATAAGTACCTAGGACACCCAAAAGGAACGGATTTAAAAAATATCGGGATAAAGGGGGAAAAGGGTCATGCAGAAAGGTTCACTAAACAGAGAGGTTCAGCTCATTTCGAAGTCCTTTCCCCTCGACAGACCACCTCACCCTAATCCAGCCCGCTCGCCCCGCTCTCACTCGCGGGGGTGACCGATGTCTCAATTGTGCAAATCTGTTATAAACGGAGTGGAATTAGGGTCATTTGTCGGCGCTCCCGAGGGGCCGAGGACGGCGTCGGGGGCGGGCCGGGCGGAGCAGCGCGCCGTGCTGGAGGGATGGGACGTGGTCACGAGAGGGGGAGGGAGCGGCGAGAGCGAGGAGAGAGAGACGGAGAGGGTGTGGGGTTAATCATATCAGTGGGCGCCAGTCGCGCTTGCACATTTATCGCCCCAATGCGTCCCGTTGCGGGGTGGGGTGGGGCAGGGTGGGGCGGGGCGGGGCGAGGTGGGGCGAAGAGCGCGGTGGGTTAATTTAACGCTATGTTTGTAGCGCTGTTGTGATTTCCTTGGGTCATGTAGCGGGTCGGGGCCACGTCAAGGGTCCGCGCTACCGCCACTGCTGCCGCTGCTGTTCCTCGGCGCGATTTTATCCCTCTGCTTTTCTCACTATCAGCTGCCGGTCTTGTTCCTTGGCACGGCGAAGCAGAGCGCCCCGGCGGCGGCGTAAGTAAAGTAGTTTGTTTGACTGCTTCTTTTGTTTCTTCTCTTTACTCTTGAAAGGTGTTGCAGGCGCAACTCTCTCTCTCTCTCCCTCCCTCTCTCTCTCGCGCGCGCGCTCTCCCAGTCTACAAATCCGTGCGCAAGGAACTCAATTTGTCGCTGACATATGGAAGAGCGATCACAGCGACAGAAGGCACAGGGACCCCGCGCGCCCCTGCAGGCCCGCTGCCCCACCAAGAGTGTGAGCGTGAAGTTTCTGTTTGTCACGCTTCGACGATCCAATCCGAAGGGTAGAAGGGTGGTTGAGCAGGACGACGGGCCCCAGGCCAGGGGAGGGAGAGGAAGCGAGAAAAAGACGGGAAGAGGAAGAGAGGAAAGGGAGAGAGGAGGACAAGAAAGAGGGAAATGGGAAATAGGACGAAAAAGAAACGAAAGAAAAGAGAAAGGATTGCGAAAGCGGTGAACGAAAGAAGAGGAGGACGAAGAGGAAGTGAAGAGGAAGAGGGAGGAAAAGTGAGGAGAGGGGGGGAAGGGGAGGAAAAGACGTCACCGGGAACGCTCCGAGGAAGCAGTGAAAGGGGGTGGTAAGCGAAGGGGAAGCACCGACGCGTCGCTCATCGCGTCACCCCAAACTTTTTCCTTGCACGACCAGGAGGTACACACGGAAGGCCTCTGGCTGGTCTAAAGGGTTGGCTTACAGTTGTCCAGTGTTTTTACAAGCCGGCACCGCCGTGAAGACGAGAGGGAGAAAAAACACGGCGAAAACATGATGAATACGTTAATGTAAACACTTTTGAGATTGACTTATGCGATAAGGCTCGGCTAAGCTGTGTCTGGCCTGCCACCCCGGCCTCTCACAGCCCAGCCCGGCCCGGCCAGCCACTTCCATGTTTATTCATGATTAATCGCTTGTAAAATTAAGATGCAATCCATTTCCGCCACAGCGGACCCAAATGACCAAACACGAGCGCAGCGAGGCCCACCGGCGGCCTCGGGCTGTTGGTTTTACGTGTCACCGATGGCCCACCGATACCCCTTATCTCTCCCTCTCTCTCTCTCTCTCTCATTCTCTCGGTGCCTCCCACCCCCTCTCCCTTCCTATATTCCCCTCTCAATTGTGCACAAAATGCAAGTGCCACCCGCCTCTAAAACACCCACAAAAAAAGGAAGAATCTTTAAAAAACATTTAAACACACAAAAAAAATAAACCCAAAAAAGTTCAAGTCATCCCGGCCCAGCAGTGCGATTTCATATTCTGATAAACTAAGTAATCCTGCGTTGATGACAAGCTCTTCCTAATGAGGGCGAGGATGCCCACCAAGGTCGGGAGGGCCTCCTCCTCCGCCAGCACCAGGAAGTCGCCGTGACGACGCGACGCGCGCATCGCTCTCCCGATCAGAAGGAGCGTCCCGCACGGCTGCCCCGCGGAGTGCAACCGGGGGCCGAGCGAGCAGAGTCACCTCGCCGATGACGACGGCGACCAAGGCGTGAAAGCCTTAAGAGGTTTTTTCTTTGTTTTTCGTACGAATTGAGCAGGAGCGTTGGAGTTGGGGCGGTGGGTGTGAGGGGGAGGGGTGACATCTCCGGACTAGCTTCTAGACAGTCACCGAACCCAGCCTCCCCTGCGATTTATAGAACAGCGCCCCCCCTCGACCTGTCAAAGATATGTCGAAGCGAGCGACAACAAAACTACACGCCTGCGCCCCTTTACTCGACCTGCAGGTGGTGGGATATGCGGCGCATCTCCGTGACGCGACATGCAGCGCGCGGCAAAGAAGAGATTTGGTTTCACACCGACGCGGAATACACGAAATCGGCCTATGTGTACGTCACTCGGTCGTCTCCCCGCCACCCCGTGTCCAAGCGATTCGGTCACAAGCAGCAGCGCCTGGTCCTGCTGACCAGCTGGCGCGCGGCGCGCGGCGCGTCTCCCCCAAATCCCCGGGGCATGAGGGTGGGGGCAGCGCGGGCAGACCCGGTCGGCGTCGACTTAGCGTCTGTAATGTGCTGTAAGATTAGACCCGATGCGCAGGCAGCGGCTTCAGGTTGCTGCTGCTGCTGCTGCTGCTGCCATACATCCCGAGCAGACACACCACACCCGACACTTGCCAGAGCAACACGCGTAGCAAGCAAGGGCGCGTCCGGGACCCCCCGAGGGACCCCCCACAACGACGGTACTCACCTCCCAGTCTTGGTGATGATCATCTCGGTGCCCAGGTCGTGGAACTTGTCCCAGAGCTCCTTGGTCTCCAGGTGGCAGTCGACGGACAGCAGCTCCGGGCAGTTGCAGTGCGACTTGTTCCGGAGCGCGGCGGCGGCCGCCTTGGGCGACGGCGACGGCGAGTCGCCGTCCTCGCGGTCGTCGTCCGCGTCCGCGTCCAGGTCGGCGTCGAGGTCGCCGTCGGCGGCGTCCCCGCCCCCGGAGGCCGAGCCCCTGGAGGCGGCGCGGTGGCCGCCGCCGGCCGGCCGGCCCGAGCTGCCGCCGCTCACGGACTCGGCCTCGGAGCACTCCTCCACGTCCACGTCCGCGTCCTCCTCGTTGGAGGGCAGGTCCTCGTCACTGCAACCCCCGCCCCCGCGACCCCCCGAGTCCCGCAGCTCTCTCCGCGATATCCGATCTGCAACACAGAGAGACACAAGGACGTCAGCAACAGGAAAACACCGCTCACGGACACCGGCACTTATAGCCCGACGCACACATTTTCGGCTCGGACATTCCTCCCAGGCACGTCGACTGCAGCCGTACGTGCGAGCGAGAGCGCGCGGCCGGGCGAACACCTCGAGCCATGAGACCGGCAATCTGGCCGTCGATTAGTGTAACACTATGGCCTAAGCGCCGCGCCCGCCGCCTTTGGCGTGGACGCCGCCGCCGCCTCCTGACCATAGGAGCCCCGCTCGTCTCTTTCAATTCTTCCACTTCTTCCTCCACTTGTCCAAAGCTGACGGACACGCCACGCCACCACACGGTTAGCGTGATGTCCACTGCACTGCTCCGGATGCAGTCAGCTCCAGTTGTCCTGCCCCCGGGCAGCGTCGGGCGGCCGCCGTGTCCGCCGCGGCCAGCGCGCCCCGCTCAGATTACAAGGCGGCAAAGAGCGCTGCTCACGCCCACCCAAACATCTCCCTTCCACCGCACAGCACGGCCGGCCCGCGCTGGACCGCGGGTGCGTGAGAGAGGGAGAGGGAGCGAGGGAGAGGGAGGGAGAGGGAGGGAGAGGGAGCGAGAGAGAGGGAACGAGGGAGAGGAAGAGGGAGATAGAGTGAAGAGACAGAGCGGGCGGGAGAGCGAGATATCGAAGAGAGCAAAATATCGAAGAGACCGAGATATCGAAGAGAGCGAGACATCGACGAGACCGAGATATCGAAGAGAGCGAGCTATCGAAGAGAGCGAGATATCGACGAGACCGAGATATCGACGAGACCGAGATATCGACGAGAGCGAGATATCGAAGAGAGCGAGATATCGAAGAGAGCGAGATATCGAAGAGAGCGAGAGAGTGATCGAGAGACAGAGGGAGGTGCATGATGCACCCCGTGCGAGTATGTGAGGTGCGCCCTTGGTGTGATCGACCCCCCTGATTATTCGCAGCTGAAGAAAGTGTTCCCGGCACGCCGCCGCTGGGCTGCTTGGCTGCCGGGGCTCTCTGCCCATAGCGCACACCAGACAAATAGCCATTTAAATCGTGCGCCGGCGGCCACAGGCGGGCGCGAGGGAGGATTATTTATCGCTCTGTGGTACTTCCCCGTGCGGTGGCGTCCGAGAGCGGCGCGCCGTGTCGCCTAGTGTATCGCGAGGGGCTCCAGGGCCGGCGCTTTCGGACGCCACTCCAGAGCCGCCCATACAGAGAGCCTTACACAACCCCTCCTCCTTTCGAAGTCCAGTTGGAAATATTTCCGTTTTTATCTCAATCTCGACAGATCACCCCCCACTACCAACGCCGCGCGCTGCTCTCTCACTGAGTCTGACCGTTCGATATCTCGCCGCCGCCATCGAGAAGAGAGAGAGACAGAGGTGAGAGGAGACAGAGACAGAGTGGGAGAGACTACCGCATCATGTGAGAACCCGATTGAATGAACCCGCCCCATTCACGGGGAATAGATACCCAGGGGCAACGCGTCGGCGCGGCGGCGGTGGCCGCGCGGGGAATTCAAAAACAAGAAAAAGGGTTCGACAAGGCAGGAAATAAGGAGGCAAACTCTTTAGAGAACCACAAGGGAGGGAGGGAGGGGGAGGGAGAGGGAGAGAAAGAGAAAGAGAGAGAGAGAGAGTAAAAAAGGGTAAAAGATCCCAAGTCAAAACCTCATTGCAGTTTCCCCAACTTGCATTAGCCAGACAGCCTCTCTCTCTCTCTCTCTCTCTCCTTCCCTCTAAATCCCGGGGCATGATCTTTAATTTGGCGTGGCCTGTAATCGACCTCGGTGCCGGCGCGGCCTGCCGCCGCCGCCCTCTTCTCTCCTCTCTCCGTACGGTGTGAAAAGAATAAGGAAAAAACAAGCGCAAGATGAGGCAATTACGATATAAAATAAGAGGAGGACGACACCTCGGGGCGGCGGGGCGGCGGTGCTGGCCGAGCACAAACCACGGTATTAACATGTTCGTGGTCCCCGCCCTGGGCACCGGCGGCCACGCCCCTGCCCGCGACCAAACTAGCGCTGAACACTGTGATTCTCTAGAAAACTACCGGCGGCGCGGCGGCGGCTCGGAGCAGCGGCGAGGTATGAATTTAGAGGCCGTGGCCGAGCGGGCAAGCGCGCGCGTCGAGCTTCAAGCAGCCGACACCGCAAGGCAGGGCAGGCCTACCAACGGCAGGAGGAAACCCTTCCCTGCTCTGCTCCGCCCCGCCCCGCCGCCGGGCTGCCAGTCTTGCCACTGTAACAGATGCACTGCCCCTTTGATGTGCGCCGCCAGGCCTCAGCCTCGCTCTGCTCTACTTTCAATGTTTCCCCCGTTGTGTTATGATGCGCTTGCTGCTGAGGCGCCGCCTCCCTTGATACAATTTTTTCTTTTCCCCCGACACCACCAACTCCTTCTTTTCTCTTGTTTCCACCGCCCGCCTCCCTTGGTCCTTACTACTGCTTCCACTACAACACTACTCGTCTTTCCTTTTCTTTCATCATTTGCGCCTTTGGGCGGTGCCTGCTCCCCACAACTCATCCAGTTTCGTCCGAATGTTTAATTATTAGTTTATTATTTGTTGGTTTTAAAAATGCTGGAAATTTACCTGGCGCTTTTACAACTGGCATGAGAAACTCATACAAAGCAGCCCACGTCAAAATTCGCACACAAAAATTCTCGCATAAAAATAAAACGACAGTAATGAAAAATAATAATTTATTAAAAAATCGCACAAAAATGTTACGCGTACTTTCAACGTGTGGATTGCTCACTTTGTTCAGTGGTCGGCCGGCACCGCGGCTCCAGGCAGCGCCCTCTGGGCACCGCGGCACGGGCCGGACAAAGAGGCGACCGGCTCGTAAAACGCGCCGCAGTTATGGGGTATTGTTCTCCAGGGGCCCGCCGCGGCTCTGCACACACACACACACACCTGACGACGCTCGCGGCGTTCGATTGGTACCAGGACGGTGGTGTACGTACCCCTCTCCTTGCTCCCTAAGGGTTTCCCCCCCCCCCCTTTCCTCCTTCCCCCACCTCATGGCATTTGACCTCCAACGTAGGGAGCCACAAGGGCTCCGCAGCGGCAGCAGCAGCAGTCATGAGGTACTTACAGCCCTTTATAAAGGAAGCCGACGCGGCGGCTGAAGAACAACAAGTCCGCGAGTATGGCACCATACCGTGAGGATGACTCCATCACACAGGCAGCGCGCGGGGTAACGTACTTAGTTTCTACAGTTTCTTATTTTTGTTGCCATCGCTCAACGTGCGGACTTGTAGACCGTCTTCTCTTCTCTCCCCTTGCTGTAGTGCGACTGGCAGAGAGGGGAGAGTTTTGACTGAAGTCGGAGGACGTAGCAGGGAGGAAAAGGTCCTACGTATACTCTACTGAGTGTGTGCCTCTCTGTTACGGTTACTCCCCTCTCTCTCTCTCTCTCTCTCTCTCACACACACACACAGATGCGATTGTTGCAACTTTAGGCCGGCCCTGCACCCGCAGTTGCACCGCTGCTGTTCACACGGAAAACATGTCGAAATAACAGCGCAAGGGGCGATGAGTTAGTTACCCGCGCGCGCGCGCGCACACACACACACACACACACACACACACACACATGAACACACACAGCGCAGGGACAGAAACGCATACACGCCGACGCACACACCTACGGCCGTTAAAACAAATTAAAATTTCCATTTTACCACCTGAAATAAACGAAAATTCTCATAATTTTTTTTTTCGCAAGGTGTGCACGTTGCGCTCTGCAGCAGACAGAGAGGCGTCCGGGGAAAAAGAGGGAGCAGTTCTTGGGCGGCCGCGGGGTGGAGCCAGAGGCAGCGAGCAGAACGGACACTAGACAAAGAAAAGGGCCCCATATTTGTTCAGGCATTTCTTACAACGACGTGGGGAAGACGACTGTATACGACATTTTTGGTCACATTATAAATGTACGACTCCATTAATAAGCCACACTCAGTCATCCCCAAGTAACGAAAGCAAATTAAAAGGACACAAAACGCCCTGATCTCAGGTCTCACATGTTCGAACATCAAAATAAAAGCTTGGACAATTTTATCGAGGCAACAAAGATGTTTCAGCCGAGCAGAGCCTCGCGCTGCTGAGCGGTCGGTCGGTGTGCTCGCTATGGTGTCAGACCGTTCGAGGGGGGCGGCGCCTCGCGTTGCGGAGAGTGGCATGGCGTGGTGGGGCGTGGTGGGGCGTG